GCTGAACGATTTTGGAAAATAATCTAATTGCGATTTTTTTTTACCAATATTGCGATTGCGATTTAATATGCAATTATTTTTTAAAGCTCTTTATGTTCTGTATTATTCAACAAAGACAAGCTATAAATCATTGTATAGTATGCCCAACACACTATTAGATAGATTAAACATAAATGTTCTTTTCTGTAGGCCAGGCCTATATGTTACGATGAAATTAGGTGATGCATGAATTGATATGAATGACATTTTTATTTAACAACTACAATCACGGTATATTGACTGATTTGTTGAACTTCCAACCTTGTAAGCATGTAATAATTATGTTTAAATAAGCCTGGTGTAAACATTAATATGAAAGTCAGTAGCAAATCACACAAACTAAAGTAGATTGCAGAAATATAAAAACAAATCTGTTGCTTTACCACACTACTTTAGGTAATTCAAAGTCACTGTAATAAACATATGTAAACATGTGCACTGCACTTTTTAAACACTCTCTGTTCACTTCAGACCAGTGGTTCTCAAACTTTTGGTCGCGCCCCCCTTTAAACCTATAAAAAAAAATCTGCCCCCCTTTCCCGAATCCCCATCCCACCTCAGACTACCAAATAATTTAATTAAACATTATGAAAAATTTATACTTTTTTAATTTAAAAAACCTGCAGGGAAAAAAACACCTGCATCACTTGAAACATTGAAAAATAGCATAGAGAGAATAACTTATTATTATTATTCTCTCTCTGTTATTTATTTATTTTTTGTGGGTTTCATGCTGTCCGCTAAGGCATAGGACACACACAAGCTTTCCTCCTCACCAACGACATTAAAGACCGTGTCTACACCCAACCCTCTACGGACACCTTGGCAATTGAATCGCCATTGGCTAGGATATTTTTTTGTTTATATATATATATATATATATATATATATATATATATATATAAAAAACGATGGGTGTGTGTCATCAAAGTACTGCGAGAGCTATAAGAGAGCGGACGTCTCCTTATGCTTTCTCTCGCTGTACTTTGATGTCATACACCGATCAATCTTCAAGTCGAACACACCTCTTTACTCTCGCGTGTCACGTGAGCGTGTAATCGCAACCTCTGCGATTGAAAAATCGCGTTATTTCATATCGCGGTGTTATCGCAAATGCAATTAATCGTTCAGCCCTAATAAAAATGCTAGAAACATGTTAGTGACATGCTAGTAACTGGCTAATCATGCTAGCAACATGCTAGTTACTTGCTAATAATGCTAGCAACATGCTAGTAACATGCTAATCATGCTATAAAAATGCTAGCGACATGCTAGTAACTTGTTAATCATGCTGACGTACTGACACAAAGTTCAAATGATTTGCAACGGTCGCTTTGCCACGTCCAGTGTAGAGCTGTTGTGGCGCGACGCACAACTGTAGTGTCCGGTATAGACACGTTGAGTGAAGCCGAGAGTGAGATATGCCTCGTCATATTTTCTGCATTTAGCTTTTGAATGACCAGCTTATCTAGTTACAATTAATGGCTAAATTAATGTTTGGAAATGTAAACTGATACTTCCTACCGACACACTACAGCAAAAGATAGAAATAACTGACTTAAAACCATTTTCAGCTGCTGAGAATACTAGTGTTCTAATCATTTTGGCCTCCATTGCATGCGTGCATTTCCAACAGAACAGATTCAACTCAAGTTTTAAACCTCCAGAGATCAAACGAGAGGCAGATGATGATGATGAGGGTCACGGGCCCGAAGTGAGAGCGAATGTTCCCCTCCAGCGGCGCCACGGGCTACATGCGGCCCTTCTGTTCCGGCGTTTAGCAGACAAGCGCTGCTCTCGCTGCAGATTAATATTTCATACAACAGACAATGAGGTCTCAACTGCACTAGAAGAGCGGCTTACAAACTCCACAATTCCACAAAATACCATCATAATATCAAACAAATCTAGCTTCACATGTGTATTCATGTCGTTTCCACAGATCTCAGGACATCATCGCCTCAAACAGTCGCTCAGTAGTGTTTTTCCACATTAAACACTGTTCAGCAGTTCAACAAAACAAAAGCACATTTATGAATGAATAAATAGAACAAAATTAAGACAGATGAGTCTAATAAACCCTCAGCTCATTAATGAGGACTGAGACTTAAATAAATATAAATGTGTAAAGCATACAATAAATGGTTAAATGCCTAAATAAGTGTATAAATAATTCTTGAAAAATAAATGCATAAATCCTCATATGAAAGCATAGATACTTAAATGCTCAAATTAAAGCTTTGAATAAATGCATTAAATAATAAATACAAATAAATAAATAACACAAATGAAAATGTAATGCCTATACAAATGCATAAATAAAGGCTCAAATACATAAATGCATCAATGTATAAATAAATGCATTAATGCATAAATAAATAAATAAATAACACAAATGAAAAAAATGTAATGCCCATATTAATGCATAAATAAAGGCTCAAATACATAAATGCATCAATGCATAAATAAATGCATTAATGCAAAAATAAATAAATAAATCCATAAATAAACAAATGCACAGTAATCTACATCTACATGTCATTAACCATTACCCAAGAATATTCCGTTAACATTTTGACATTTTAGCCTTTTGAGTCTAAGGGCCGAATGGAAAAGTGGAAAAAGTGAAACTGCACTGAATTTAGATTATAAAGATTTTATCAGTATAATTTCATCTTTCATAAACTCCTTTATTAACTACTTTCTAAAATGTTATTTAAAAAAAAAAAAAAAAAATCAGTCCCATTCTCAAAGTTACACATATACAGATCAGTGCTGGGAGGTATGACCAAACATTTATATCACAGTATTTTTCAAAATGATCCCGGTTTCACGGTACTGTCATGATGAGTGAATACTGTAGAAAAATTCCACACTAAATACACTAAACACTAAATGCATGTTAACCAGGAGTCACTCTCACTTTACTCTTTAAATCCTGATTTATAATCACAACATTGTCTTTTAAAATCAACATGCATCTACACTAAAGAGCAGCTATAAATATAAATATATGAATGAATATCCGAGTACATTTGAGTCTGGATCTGCCCTTGGACGGAAGCGACATGAACCTGATCAATGCGGATTCAATTAAACCGCTGTGATGGACGTGTTTGATGAGGGCCGTGTGGAGCTCCTGCAGATGATAGGAAGCGTGCCTCTCAAGGTGAACGTCTTATCTGACGTCTGAACGCTGACAGACGAGTTTCCAGCAGCTCTTCTCCAGCAAACAGCCGCATGGAAGTAGGACAGAGAGTTTAAGAAGAGCCAAATGAAAACGCATACACCTCTCTTGCTCTCCTAATGGATGAAAATCCATCTGCTGGATGGAGATCTATGAGCTGCTCAATGAGGTTAAGCCATGAAAATCAAAGGTTACCCTCAAAATTCAATTTACTAGGCTGTTCTTTCTTCCCCCTCCAATGAAGCGCTTTAATCTCACTCGCTTTCTGCCCTTTTATGCATTTGGTTTTCTTTCAAGTTTATTTCCTTTTATCTTTCTTTATCTTTCTTTTCCCATCTCTTGCTCTGCCGCATTTGCTCTTTTTCATTTCTTACCACAAAACTATGCCACATCTGAAACTCTCAGAACAACAAAAGGTGAAAACATTTACTGATGCTCAAGAAGGCAACACAATGCATTAAGAGACGGGTGTAAACTTTTTTAAATTGGATGATCAGGGTAAATTGTACTTATTTTGTCTTCTGGGAAACATGTAAGTATTTATGTAGCTTCTGAAGTCCAGTACTACATGAAAAAAATATGATCGTTAAACAAAATGAGAAGAATTTACACATCATCACCCTGTTCAAAAGTTCTCTTAATGCATTGTGTTGCCTTCTTGAGCATCAGTAAATGTTTTCACCTTTTGTAATAGCTGTGTATGAGTTCCTCAGTTGTCCTCAGTGTGAAAATATGGTTCTCAAAATCATACAGTCACTGTTGGAAAGGGTTCAAATATGCAGAAGATGCTGGAAAACCAA